GTTTGTCCCCGGGCAATACCCCTCCAAACCACCCCACCAGCCAAACCGGCTCTCGGGCTTGTAACCAGGGCAGAACTAAAGTACGTGTGGGAGAGGAGGGCGGCCCTGGACAAAGCTTTCACCAGGAGCAGAGCTGACCCTCCAGCCTGGGTAAAGAGGGAGGCCCAGGGTCCTTACCTGCTTCCTGAGCTGAAGGGTTTGAGCGTCATAGAAAACAACGTTGTGTTCCGCGGAGACGGTGACAATCTCGTTTCTCTCGGGCACGAGCAGGCACTGGGTGAGGCTGCGCTCGCTGGCCTCCTCCTTCAGCTCGAAGGGCACGGGCTGGGTGTACACACAAGCCGCTGTGGCCACTGCCCAAACGTTCAGGACACCTAACGGAAACGACGATGTCCATTATCCGCCAGAGCCGCTGTCGTAGCCAGCGGTTGTCCAAGGAACACGAACCGACCCCCGGCCTCGCCTGCTGGGAAGAGCCAGGCGGCTTTAAGGCCGGGCTGCGAAGGGATCCAACCACAGGGGCACGAAAGGCCACATTTTTCTTCTTCAGTCCAAACCAAACTCCGTTGCAGTTTGAAAACACACGGAGGTAAAGCTCCACAGCGCGCCTGACCAACGCTGCGCAGCCCCTGCTGCCAGCGGGACCGGGGCAAGGCTCCGCTCTCCCGCCCTCGGGGGTTCAGCCCAAAGAAGCACCTTCAGGACCGTCCTCCCTCAGCCTCACTCACCTTTGCTGCCAGCTGTGACAAAGTGCAGCCCTTCCTTCTTCACGCCCAGCTGAGAGAAATCGCCCTTCTCCGGCAACAAGACGGCAGCTTCCACGCTCTGCAGGAGAGTCGGCCAAGCACCGGCTGAGCGCGCGGCACCGGAGCCCCGTTCCGGCAGCCCGAGCCGCCTCCCGGCCCCCCCCCGCCCCCGCCAGCCCCACACCGCAGGGCTCCTGAGGACAGGTTTTCCACGGCTGCCCTTCCTTCCTGCTCCAGCGCTGGGGCAGCAGCGGCAAATATTTCCTCCAACTGCCCAGACGCGACCCCGCCAGGCAAGGAGAGAAACGAACCCCACGGCTTTGGACACGGGGTTTTAAGGCCTCTGGGAAGTACGAGGGAGAGAAGCCTGATTTCATGATATATAGGGGCCTAAAGGGGGAGAGGTACTCCACGGCTGCCCTTCCTTCCTGCTCCAGCGCTGGGGCAGCAGCGGCAAATATTTCCTCCAACTGCCCAGACGCGACCCCGCCAGGCAAGGAGAGAAACGAACCCCACGGCTTTGGACACGGGGTTTTAAGGCCTCTGGGAAGTACGAGGGAGAGAAGCCTGATTTCATGATATATAGGGGCCTAAAGGGGGAGAGGTACTGTAGGACAGAGACCTAGACACGACAGAGGATCTCAAAGGAACAGAAAAAAATGCAACTTCACCTCGTAGACAGGGATGGTTCGTTTACTTTCTCTGCTTTTCAGGTCCCACACCATGCAGATCTTGTCACGGCCAGAACTGTGAGTGAAAAGAGCAGTTTCAGTGCTAAATCCCTTCAAATCCGACTCCGAGAACTCGAGCTTTTAAGTGCCAATTTGGAAGGGTGGGAGTTCAACACCTCTCCGAAGAGGTCCATGTGAAAGGAAGCACCAGCCTTCCACGCGGCAGGCGCGGTGCGTCGCCAGAAACGCGAGGGCTGACACCCTCAGTTCCTCACTCGTACGGTCAAGCAGAGACTGAGCACCAGCAGCAGCCCTTCTCCTCCCAGGAGAACCTCCCCAGAGCCTACAGAAAGCCCCAGTCCCTGGCGGGGGGCAGGGTGGACAGGAGAAAGGCTGAGCCTCCGCCAGGTTTTACCTAACGAGCGTGTTTCCGTCCGCAAACGCCAGCGAGGTGACAGCACTGAAGTGGCCGTCGAGCAGAGCGACACACTTGCTGGACTTCAGGTCCCAGATGCGGATTTTGTAGTCAATGGAGGAGGAGAAGACTTGCAGACGGGAGATGTCGGGGTGGAACTCCACAAGGCTGGGCAGGAGGAGACACACTTGAACAGGACAGGAGGGAAGCACCTGGCACGCTGGCCGTTATCTCAGCATTTAAATAAACAAACATTCTACACAAAGACTTTGATGGATCAATGGATGTGGATTTACAAGAGGACTTTCCTTGGAGGACCTCATTCCTCTGCCCCCCACCAGGAAAACTGGCAGCTGGTCTTTCCACGTCCCTGAAGCACACCAGTGAGCCAGCACAGACGGTCCGTTTAAATCCCAACAAATTCCTTGATCAAACTCTTTCCTCTCGGGGCTAAAGTCAGCCAGAGCCCTTCCCCAGAACATCCCAAAAATCAGGAAGCAGAAGAGCCCAGAACCTGCTTGGGATGGGCCTTTCTATTGCATTAACTCAAGACATTTCACACCAATCCCGGTGTCCAAGCACCACGGTAACGCCAGCGGCGGACAAACACCCTTACTGTACGACTCCCGAAGATCCCTTCAGGTTGTGGGTGCAGTACTGCTTGAGCATATCCCAGATCTTGATGGTGCTGTCACAGCCACCTGGGAGAAGGAGGGCACAGGAACATGAACCACGGAGGAGAGAGGCACAGGAGGTCCAAGGTATCAGGAAAATCTCACGGGTTGCGAAGGCAGCAGGAAGAAAAATGCAACCAGTGACAATGACCCACCCCAAGAACGTCCACGGAGCACGTCACAGTGTCAGAGCTGGGCAAAACCTGACTGCTCCCAGGCAGACCCGAAGTTCTAGGTCATGCCTGGCCTCCTCCACCTCCAGGAGTCCCTGTTGCACCCCAGGGTGCTGTCTCACAGGCGCCTGATGTTTATCAGCACTTTACAAGGTCAGATGGAACATCGCAAGGACCCGATTTTGTCTCTCGAGACGTCCTTTCTACCTAAATCAACCCCTTCTGACGACCTCTGAGGACAGGAGATCCCTCAGGCCGTGTCCAGCTGAGCTAAACCACCCCAAAGCAGGAGGGCCACTCGGCCTCGCTCCCACCGCGTCACAGGACCGTACCGGTGGCCAACAGCGTCGAGGTGGAGTCAAAGGCCATGGCAGCCACCGGCGCCGTGTGCACGGCTCTCCACGTGCGCACACACCTGCTCTCCCGCCAGTCCCACTGCTGCAGCAGCAGCGCCCGGCTCCCCGTCACCAGCATCTGCGGGAAGCGAGCCGAAGGGAATCAGAGTTAATAGTTAATTTGATTTAATCTCTTTCAGTGCCCGCAGACAGCACAGAAACGCCAGTTGCTGCGACACTCGAAGCTCAGCCTCGCCGCGCTCCTCTGCCTGACTTGAGCCCAGAAAAGGAGACAGACAGAAGTGTTATAACCAAGTCTGGATTTTGAATAGATAATTAA